TTTTTCTAATATTTGTAATATTGCATATTCTCTTGCCATATTTATGCTTATACCATCTTATGTGAATGAATTTGCTCGAGTTTATGACAGTTTTTTTCTTCATGATTTATAATTAGTTTTTTGTAATTATTTTTTGATAATTCACAGATATTCAAGAGTGGACATCTATTGGCATCTACTGGGCATCTACAGATATCCAAAGGTTAGTGCATCAATTGGTACAGGGATACATAAGCCTTTGATTTCATTAGTTTTTTTGTATAAATAGGATGTGTGTTAAAAAATCTTGTAGTTGCTTGCTTATGAATGAGTATTATACAAGTGGGGGAAAACAAATTTCGATTTGAAAGAAAGATCAAAACAGATGACAGTGGAGGAAAATTTCAAGTTCACTGCAGTAGTTCAGAAGCATTTAGAAAAGAGAATCATAGGCTTTAAGCTAAACAACACAACTAGAAAATAAGATTCAAATGTTATGTTTAAATGTAGTTTGGAAGTGTTATGGTTGAATGTAGCTTAGAAGTGTTTTGATTGAGTTAATATTAAGTTGTAGGAATTTATTTTTGTGTTCACGGGCTTTATTTGTTTTAAGATACTAGGCTATGGATTTCAATATAAGCATTATTTATATTTATATATATACTAAATTAAAACCACATATAGTTTTAACATATATGTTTAATTTGGAATATCGATAGTGTTTTGTGGTGTTTTCATATCGGGAGGGATTGTCTGGCCCCAGTAACGATTGTCTACTTCATCTTCAATCTACACACCGTTCTGAGCATATTTGGAATGGTGAATTAACCGATAATAAGTTTAGTCTTGTTTGTCCGGAAAGATATTGGACTAGTATATCTAAATTATGTCATCCTAGGGTCCTCAAGATATTAAATCGTATTGGATTTTATGGAGTATATAGAGTTGGACATTTTAGTCATGATCCTGGTCTTTTGACAGCATTAGTTGAGCGATGACGTCCTAAAACACATACATTTCATTTCACATTTGACGAGGCAACAATTACATTATAAGATGTTGCTATGATATATCAATTACTCCTCGATGGTAAACCTATTGTCAGTGATGCCACATCTCGACAGACCATAGAGCACTCTACAAAGATTTGTATGGATTTGTTATAATTGTCTCTTGACCCAAAATATTTCAAGCATGGACCATGGATTTGCACTCTACTTTAGAGCATCATTTGAAGAGTGCTGAGTTTCAAATCGATAATGATAGTCCCAAAGAAAAAATAGAGTGTTGGGCACGTGGATTTATGCTATTGATGATTATGGGTACGATACTTCCGAATTCAGATGGTAGTAGGGTCCGGTTGATTTACTTGTCATATCTGCAGAAACTTGACCTTTCTGATAAGTATAGTTGGGGAAGTGCTTGCCTTGCATGTCTATATCATAATCTCTGTTTAGCAGTTATTAGAGTAAAAAGAAAAAAGCTTAGTGGCTCCCTCACATTGTTGCAGGTATATTTATATAAATTGACATCTTAAATTTATTTAAGAACACTATTTTTGTTGTTTAAGTATTTTACTTTTTTTCTAGATTTGGGCATGGTCTCAATTAAATATGTTGGCTCCTCGAATTAAATCGATAAACTCTATTGCTGTCGATCCTCAAATGCTTGCTAATGGCGTAATGCTTCCTGTTGCGCCTTACGGAGCTATGTATTGTGATTTATACAAGTAGTTCTTAATTAAAGTTTTTTGTATTTTCAATCCTCAAACTGTATTTTGTTATTGTAGATGGGCTCGGGGTAAATATGATTTTACTCCAACTGTTCATGGTTGTGTGGCTGCTATACGTGACATTCTTGATCATGAAGGAAATGGACAGGTATTTTAATAACATTTCAATAATTATATAACTCTTATGTTATAATTCTTTAATACAAATATATTATATTTTTGGTGCAGTTTAATTGGCGGCCTTACAAGCCCAATTTATACGATAGTTTACCACATTCTTGTCCTTCAACTTTATTCCGTTACCAAGGACCTTTGTTATATGAGCGATGTATTGAACATCATTTCATAGATAGAGTGCTTCGGAAACTGGGCTTAGTTTAGCATATTCCAGATAACCCATCAGTGGTAGAGAATAGGAATACTCATAGTTCTTCTCAGGGATCCGACACAAAGAATTGGTTGAAAACTTATAAGATATATATTCAACAATGGAATCAACCTAATTTAATGAATGGGCAGTCCGCTTTGCATGATATACCTCATACTCCAGAATATTTGCAATGGTTTAGAACACATTCGAGACGGTTTATCAACAATCCAGAGTTCCGTACACGGGCCGGTTATCCGACTGGACTACCATCTTACAATCATTTTGCGGTATTTTAGTTCTTTTATTCCTTATATATTTAAATACATCCTAATTATTTATTCATTGTGCACATGATATTTGGTGTAGGTGAACCAATTAAGGCGTTGTACACAGGTAGGAGACCTCAATCTTGTACAAAATGTCATTGATGTTGCAGATGATCGAGCTAATTGGATAGTTGAGTCATACAAAACTACTTTCGTACATGGTGATCAGCCTCAACTAAGTCCTGAGTTGTATATTCCTGTTGATTCTATTGATGTACATGAGACTAGTGGTATACGTGAATGTTCACCATCATTGGCTTTAGGAGCGGATAATATGCAATCACAAGAAGATGAGGTCTTTCATAACTCTCCCATTGGTACGAATATTGGTGAAGTTTTCCATTATGTACGTCAATCATCCCAGCCTGAAACTCAACGACATCTCCGTAGAAGTACTCGCCAAAGTCATCCTCCAGATTGTGGCACTGGTGGTCACAAAGGACATCGATGATGTAAGTATAATTTCATTTGTTAGGTTACTTAATTCGTTATAAAAAAAGCGTATTCCATTTGAACTTTCAGGTAGTTCGATTGTTGCCGATGACTGCAACACCATCTGTTTGGTTGAAGCTTTTTATATCGAATGTGCATTGGTTTTTAGTGCTTACATGTTGATATTACTGTTGGAAACAGGGTATAGTTGCAACTGATGCATGGTTGGTATGTTTGATTGAAAATTAAGGTATGTGAGTTGCTTCCGTCAGATGTTGTGTATTTGTGTTTTGGGAATAATTGTTTAGTGTGACTGCTGGTGTTTTATTTATATTGTTGCTAAGTTTCTCTCGTCAGGTTAATTGTGGTAGTTTGGCATTCCTTTTTTGTATTTTTATTCAATTACAACCTATGATATTAGTTTCTATTATGGATTATTGTGCATTATGTCATCAAGCAGCATGTATACCTCAAACCTTAACTATGAAATGAAATATAACAGAAAAATAAAATAAAATTGAACATGCAGGTCAGTAATGTTCTGTGGTATAAACAGAACATGTAGGTCAGTAAGCCATGAAAACTTCAATGTACCAACATTATATGTAAGCTAATAATATGACTGGCTACAAATCAGAAACTCTTCTATGCGGCCGATGTTCGAAGCAGCTCATGTAGCTTTTTGCATTTGATCATTTGGGCATGCCTTTGAAAGACAATCGAGCTTCAAGGAACCAAGCATTATATTATTATTTACAGTTAACTATGCAAATTATAAACCAACGAGACTTTGTAATATAAAGTTCTCGAATACCTCCATGTTTGTTTTGCTTCAATAAAATTCATACTTGAATCCTTATATTGCAATAAAATCAGTTGCATCCTACCTGTTTCATTATGAACGTATTAAACAAATACAAAATATTCTAACTATATTAGATTAAATTTTTTTCAAATGAGAAAATATCCATTAAAAATAAATAAATAAAATCGTTGAAATATTTTCATTACTAGCCAATCAAAATATTAATAACTACTCCCTCCGTCCCATGAAATTAGTCCAGTTTCTTTAGGACACGCAGTTTAAGAAATATTGTGTTAGGTAGTTAATTAGTTTGATTAATGAATAGAATAAAATGTTATATTAAATATTTTTTATTTGATAAAATGTTAAATTAAAAGTTAAACTATTTTTTTATTTTAATTTTTAAATATTAAATTTTTTATTTACTGATATTATTTAAAAATAATAATAATAATTGTATTTATTGTAAATCAATACATGCATTTAGATAAAATAATAATAATAATAATAATTTTAATAACTTAACTGTAATTTATACAATACCGAAATTAAAAATAAGTTTATAATTTTGCTTAATAAATAAGTTCTATTCTTTATTTTTTTTGAACAAAGAAAAAAAATCAATATCAAATCTCATTTTTAATTAATTTTTTAGCCATAAATTTTCAAATCAAATATCAAATTTTATTATATATTACATTAAAATTTAATTTTAAAATTAAATGAATATTTATTTATATAATATTAAATTTTTATTATTTTTATTATTCAAAATTTTAGCCAAATTTCTAAATTTACAATTAATTTCGTGGGACGGATGGAGTATTACTTATGATTTTTTTTTTAAAAAAACATAAATATATTTTTACCTTAATTTGCATTTGCTTGTCCCCTTGCTTGTTTCTGGCCACGATCCATTTCATTTCGAATACGTGTGGTGCGATCACGTCCTCTTTTCATAATTTTATGTCGCGAAGGCAACTTAAATGAGGCTGGTTCCTAATGTGACTTATCCGGATATGCATGGAAAGGGACGATGTATGTGTTTATCCATGAATCAATCGAATAATAGTCACACACATATCGCTTTCCATTCAAATGGAACATATGACATGCCTCTAAAACGTGTGAGCATGGCACCCCATCTAACGCCTATCCACCACATGAGCAAAAATCTCTCTTGATTGAAACAATATGTTCCTTTGATCTCTGGCCAATACTGTCTAGTTTTAACACTTTTGTCTTATATTCATCTTCATTTATCACCACACCTATATTTTTTCGGCTCTTCCGCTCTGAGTCTATATATCTTGTTCGTGCCCAAGGTGACCATTCATAGTCGGATTCTTGTTTATCTCAAGCATCATGCAACCGCTTAACAAAAAATAAAACCACACGATCGTATGTCAACTGTACTAGAGCAGTGATCGGTAGTCGTCGTGCCCATTTTAATACACCATTAATGCATTCCGACAAATTGGTTGTTAGTATACCATGTCGCCACCCTTCGTCATATGCAATGGCCCATTTGCTCTTGTCAATTCTGTTAAGCCAATCATAAGCTGCTTGATTTAGAAGTTGAATGGCCGCTATTGTTTCATTAAACTCCAATAGATCAATGGATGTCCCTGCCCTCCAGCACATATCCTTCAGTCTTACATCTTTAACGTATTGGTTGAAGTTGGAACATACATGTCTAAGGCAAAATCGATGTCGGCCATGAGGAGGGTGGAAAGCAGGAATACGCTCAACTGCACTTGTTATCCCAACATGTCTATCAGATATGAGACACGTGTGATACCGATCCTGCACAATATATCTACACACAAAATACAAAAATTTATGTTATTGACAAATATTTCAGAAATTATGAATTACAAACTTATTAGAATGTCATACCTGCTTACTAACTGAAGAAACCATAACCAAGATTCAGTACAATCTGTATCAACAATGGCAAATGCTAATGGCAGCACATGGTGGTTAGCATCTATAGTAGCGGCAATCAACATCACATGCTTGTATTTTTCATATAAATGAGTTCTATCCACACTAATCACATTACGACAATGGCGATAAGCTTCAATGCAAGGTCCAAATGCCCAAAACACATAGCCAAGTGTGTACTCTTCTCGATGTGCCGTTTCTACGTGTGACCACTAAACAATAGTATTTGATACATACTTTTGAAGAGTTTCCATATAGGTTGGGAGTTCTTGCACTGAACTCTCCCATGTCCCATAAAAATCTTCAATAGCCCTTTTCAAGCCATCCCAAGCCTTTGAATAAGAAATATCAAACCCAAATTCTATTTTCACCGCTCTCTCCACATTTTCTAACTCATATGCCGGACTTCTTTTTACAAACTCCTTTAGTAAATTTGCTATCATGTTAACATCCAAGTTTCTGTGTCCCAACGATACATCATCTGGGATACACCTGTGGTCGGGCATCACTGTAATTAACTGCCAACATTCTAAATGTGGTTTATACGATGCAGTCACTCTCCACCCGCAACCATTTTTTCCATAGTGCTTACACTTTACTCTGAAGACCGTACGATTGCTCTTTGTCACAATATATTCCCTCCCAACCACACGAATTGAATAATCCTTAACAGCCATTTGCATATGTTTTTTTTATCTTTGAATACCATCCTTAACAGCTCTTTGTCACAATATATTCCCTCCCAACCACACGAATTGAATAATCCTTAACAGCCATTTGCATATGTCTTTTATCTTTGAATACCATCCCATAAATAAGAGCACCTCTACTTTTTGTGTAAACATCCCATCTATGATTGAGAGTGCCATTTGTATCTTGTTGAAACTCCTCCTCAGGCAATTTCTGAAAATATTCAATCGATTGATATTCATTTTGACTACCTGAATATAGAATTGTACCTGATTTAGGAGATCCCGATGGCCTTGACTCTTTCCATAATGCAGTAGCATCCACAACCCATTTTTCACAGTTTCCAAATATCTCAATTTCATCATCTGAGCATAAAATTGATTATGATTTACTAGATTTATCTTCTCCAACTCCTTGAAAATCTACATCTAATATGTGTATATCATCGTTTGTTTGCTCAAGCCTTGTGTTGGGATTCACATATTCTGTCTCTACAACCGCACTTGTTTCATTCAGTTAAAATTCAACAAACAACTCCAAACATCGATAACTATTTTCTAGAATTTAAAAGTGCTACAGATTGAAGCCATTCATAGTAATAAGCCTCATTCTCTGATTATCTTGTCAATTCGTCCAAAATCAGAAAATATTGCATATGGCTTTTTCCAGTCAAATTGTAAATCAAACTTTCTAAATCTTCAAATGTACTATCTCGCCGAACAGCTGTCATACACTGTGGATCACAATCATATTCTATTGTATCCGACTTTCGTATAATGTTACCATCCCAATATAGCAGAATATCAATATTGCTCTGGCCACTACTCGTCATCTGTTTCTGTAAAAAAACTATATATATTAAATAAATACTAATAAGAATAAAATTAATATATTATAAAAATAAGCCATATATAAAAATATTAAAATAAGAAAATAGACATAAATACATTATGCATTTAAATAATATATCAATATAAACCTTACAAATAATACCAAAAAACACCTAAGATGTTATAAAATTACAAACAAAAACACAACAATCACTAAACAATAAATACCTGAAAATACAATGCAAAACATGATATTGCCTACCAACAATATAAAACAAAATATTATATGAAAACTATAAAATAATTTAGTCAAACAAATAATACCTGAAAATGTCTCTCTTCAGCAAAAGTTTTGCTTGAGGAATAAACAGGAACGAAGTTAGCATAGAAAGATTAGAATGCCACTAAATCGTGGGGTAAATTAAGATTAAAAATATAGAAGTTCTCAAAACTCCTATAATAAAAAATATAAGAGTTTTTATAACTATTCTTCATAAAAAAAGTTTTAACACGAGGTAGTTGAGAGAGAAAATAAGAGTTCTTGAAACTACTATTTTTTATGTTTTAGGTGTTTTGAAAAGGTATATAATTTTAGATCCAAAGAGTTTTGAAAACTACTACAATATATAAATATAGTAGTTTTGAAAACTCGTTTGGGGGCTAGATTTTTAAATTGTACTTTGACTTAGGCCATTTTTTTAAAAAGGACTATTTTTTATGTTTTAGATGTTTTGAAAAGGTATATAATTTTAGATTCAAAGAATTTTGAAAACTACTATAATATATAAACATAATAGTTTTGAAAACTCGTTTGGGGGCTAGAATTTTAAATGATAGTTTGATTTAGGCAATTTTTTTAAAAAGGGCTATTTAAAATTCTAGTCCCCAAATGAGTTTTCAAAACTACTATATTTATAAATTATAAGAGTTTGCAAAATAATAGAAGTTTTGAAAACACCTGAAATACTAAATATAGACATTTTCGAAATTTTTATTTTCTCTTCCGACTACCGTCACATTGAATTTCATCAATATAGGAGAATTATAAGATTTCTCAAAACTTCAGTAATTGGTAATTTAGGAATTTTGAAAACTTTTTCATATAAAATACTGATGAGAACCTTTATATATTTTGATTATAGAAGTTTTAATAACTTTTATACTTTTTAGTTTTAATTTTTAAACTACCCTATTCCAATTTTTGTGTATGGTGTGTTCGTTTTTAAAGTAAATTTTCTCTTCAAATATCCAATTTTCAAATATTATTTTTTTGCTAAATTATTTTATAATTTTTATACAATATTTTGTTTTATATTGTATATAAAATAAACAATTAATACAAAAATAAGCAATATATAAAAGTAATATTATAAAAATTCACATAAATGCATTATACATTTAAATAATACAATAAATATAAACTTAGAAATTATACCAAAATAAACAATAAGATATTACAAAATACAATGTACAAACACTAAACAACTAACTTATTAAAACTAAAGCCAAAATAAATATCATATAAAAATAATATTGTAATAAACAAAAAATATACATTATATAAGAAAAATAGCTTACTAACAATATAAAACAAAGGGAAAGTTGGTCTGTCCACCCTGTCAGTTCTATTAAGTTATAATTCAGTCCCTGTTATAAAAAAATTGATTTTCACTCCCTCCTTTACTTATTTAATTTAATATTAGTCATTATTTTATATTTTTCTTTTTATCTATATAGTATAAATTTGATGTACTTCTATAGTATATCTAAATACTCTTAATGTTATTTTATATACTTATAATTGTCTCGCTTTACTTATATTATTTTTCACTTTATTAACTATTCCACCTATATACCTCTATTTACATTATGCGTACATTTACTTATGTATCTTTAAAAAATAAATAAATAAAAATAATAATTAAAATCATATTTTACTGTGGGGTGATGTAGAAAATAAAAAAAAAATTGCAAAATATATTCTTTATATATTTAATTATCAAATTTGTCTATTATTTATTTGACTGACAAAATATATTATGTATATTATAAAATATTATATATTTTTTACATTCTAGTCACGATTGACGAGTGCAGATAATTGTTCTATATTAAACACTTTATATGCAATTTATATTTTATATTTATTTTTTCTTCTATTTTTGTATTCTTTATAGTGTTTTTTACTCTTTTTTATTTTTTCCATAAAAATTAATTATTTTATTCAACAAATTTTAATAATTTAAAATTTAAAATTTTTCCTGAATAATTTATGTTTATATTTTATTTATTATATTTTTATATGAGTATATATTATTTCTTATCAGTATTTATAAATGTGATTATTTATATTTTAATATTTTTTTCATATTAATAGTTAAGAAATTATCTTATTATCCATTAAAATCAAATTGTATAATTTTTTAGAAGTATTACTCCTTTCAGCCTTTTTTTTTTTCGTTAAACTTATATATAATTCATTAATACTAAACAATTTTATTCACTCAAAATTTTATTATCTCACTTTAAGAAATAACAATCAATTTGGCACAGGGGTGGACACGAATAGGATATTTGTAGATATAGGCATTAAAAATTAAATGCCTAAATTAAATTAAATATCGTGTATTTTGAAAGAAAATAAAATCTCAATAAAATAAATATACGGTATTTAATTATGCACATATGTTAATTTTTGTAATAAATATCAACCATTAATGCAAAAATCTGCTTAAAATGGAAGATATCGTACAAATATTACGTGCATAAATAGAGTCATAATAAATTTGGCACAAAAATAAATTAATCTTGTCAATAAATGGAGTATATAAATTAATATCTTCCGAAAAAGACAATGATATAAAAATGTTGGCGAGAAAAAAAAGGTGCACAATCAACCATAATTATATATTTCATTTTATCAATATTAGTTTACTTACTCTTTTAATTCTACTTATAAAATGAGAAAATTTGATATTAATAATTTATATTATTTTTATACAAAATTCATAATTATATTTAATATAATATAAAATATTATGTAAATATTATACATAATATAAACTTTATTATATGATTCAGTATAATATTAGCAAAATATCTATTTATCTATATATATATAATTATTCTATTAAATATTTAAAATCGTATATATAAGATACAATTTTTTAAAATATTAATACTAGTAATAAAATTTATGTATAGTATTCTATGTATTTTAAATACTTACTATGTATATATATATATATATAAATGTGTAGATAATATAAATATAATGAGTGCGTGTAATATATTATTTTTGTAGAAAAATATGTTGAAATCTTTTAAAAAAAACAAACAAACTCTTATTCTATAGAAAATAAAATTTACAAGAAAATAAAATTAAATAATTTTTTCTATCAAAATATTTATATTAAATATATATGTCACAATTTTGTATAATTTTTTTTAAATCTTTACTAATGTTATTAGTTTTTTATTTTAAAATGTGAAAATAAAATAACTATAAATATAATTTTATTAAAAAATAAATTTAATTTTTTAAAAGAACTAATAAAAATAAATAGAGTCAAATTTTTTTTTTTTTTCTTATTCAACAATTATAATTATAACATTCAAACACACATCCTAAACACTCATGCATATACCAATTTTTATGTACTTGTAATATAAAGTCATATGCTCCGGTAACGCGTATATATGCTCTGGTTATATATGGTTGGAAAAATTGACCGTGTTTGGTTCAACATATTCAATTGCTCTTAGTAACCTGAGATAAATTCATCATTATTGTGTTCTCACGACTCCCTGACATGTAAGTAAAGAAAAGAACACATGTTTACTATAGATGGCTAAAAAAAGTAAGAAATGAGGTTGATAAGTTTGTTGGTTGTTACTCATGCATCACTACTCTCACAAATTGATTGTTTTTTAGACATATTACGTAGTAATCCACAGCATAGCACACACAACAACATTTAGTTCACCAAGGCCGAGAGGGGAAGTGTTCTCACCGAATACGCGAATTGACACATTTCCATGGAAATGACTGAAATTAACTACACTTGAAGATGCCCGATAATACACAAATAATACCTAAGAAACTATTATTTATACCTCGCATGTAGGTGTTTGTACCCAGATCACATTCTTATGTACCTACATAAAATATCGACATACCCTAGCGCAGATCTTAACTACTTATAATAATAGTCTCATATGCTTCAGTAAAGAGTATATATGCTCCAATAACATGTGGTTGGAGAACAATAATTTTTTGTTCAAAATATTTATTTGTTGACGGTAACTAAGGATGCGTTCATTATCATAGTCTTCCTGTGACACCTCAAATTGTCAGAAAAAGGTAAACAACACATTTATTATGAATGGTTAACCAAGTAAAAAATGACTTGGATAGGTTGAATGATATATGTACTATTATAGTCCAACCTCAACTAGTAGATGTCTAATAAAGTCATAAGCGACTAAATTGAATTATATTGGTCATTAGAGTACATGATTGCTATCAAAAATTGAAAATATTTAGATCTATTACACATTAATTCACACAGTAGCGCACACAACAATTTTTGGTCAAGGGCATCTAAGCATAAGGTATGACTCGGCTAAGCAGGTGAGTATTCTAGAGCAGCTATGTTGTACCTCCAACCTGGTTATATCAGGTACACCAAAACAGTTCAAACCGTCGGTTACGGTTTATGAAAATGTCAAACCGAAACCGAACCTTCTGAATGACAGTTTCGATTGCGGTTTAAAAAACTGACGGTTACGGTTTGAACCGCCGATTTATGTACATTTATTTTTAATATTTTTTTTCCTTTTTAAGTTTTTCTAAATTTAAAAATTTATTCAAAAATATTATTTTCAATTTTAATTTCATTCAGATATATTTATTATTTATTTATTATGTAAAATCATATAAATAATAATTGCTAAGATTGTTACAATATAAAAGTAATTAAAATAATAAATTTACTAAGTAATTAAATCAAATTAAATTTTAAATTGAAATAAACAAAATTAAATTTTAAGAAATTGACGTGTATTAGATAATAAGATAGTTTCAATTAAATATAATTGTATGATAAGAAATACAAAATTTAAAATATAAATAACCAAAATAATGTATATTATTATTATATAATTAATAATTATTTATTTTTATTAATATTAATATTATCTTTATTTTTATAACAATTTAATGATATATAGTAATTTTAATTATAAGTATATAATATACAATTTTAGCTCTGAACATCCATTCTCCACATTCCACCGCAGCTATAGTTGCAAGGGTACGTTTTTTGTTTTCTTGTTTTTTTTTTGTATTTTCTTCTTTTTCATTTTTTTTTTCTTTTTTCCTCCTGCTTCTTCTTCACTGTCGCCGCCCGCCCATAACATTCTATAATCCACAATCGCAGCCGGCGTGCAAGTTTAAAATTAAAAAAAAAAAATAATGGCCGAACCGTCGGTTGAAACCGTAAACCGGCGATTTGAACTAGCAGTTTGCACTTTGACAAATATATAAACCGTAACAAGAGGTTCGAAAACTGGTAAACCGAAGATTCGGAGCTACGTGGACAAATTTAAACAGAATGTGTTGTAAGTATATAAAATAAATTTGGAAGCATTTAAAGATATTCTAGAGGTACATTCAATTTTTATTTGAGAAAATCTAAAACAGGGACTAATATTAAACTAAATATGTAAAGGAGGGAGTGCAGACCAATTATTTTAAAATAGGGACTGAATTATAATTGAACACTACCTGTAGGGAGGGCAGACCAATTGTCCGTAAAACAAAATATTGTATAAAGATTATAAAATAATTTAGTTCAAAAAATAATACCGTCATGTATGATTTTTTGCAAAGAAAATCCACTTAAGAAATGATAGCATGTCACATATAAATATTTGAAATATAACAAAATTATTTAAGAAAGTTTAAAGGGTAAATTATACTACATAAAACTTTATTGTGTTTTAGTTAAAATGCATAAAATACGCCGGATGTGTTTTATTTATTGCGTGAAACTTTCTTGTGTTAATGTAAAATTTGCACGAATGCCATTTTTGTCCAAAATTGATATTTGATTGTAAATATGAACTCAATAATACAAGTTTTAAACAAATAAAAATGATAAAATATCTTAAATATTTTTTTGAATAAAATAATATATAAATAATTTATTAAACCTTCATTTTATAGTTTTTTTGAAGACAAATTATTATATGATCTTTACAAGATTATAAAAATAAATAATTGATCAATTATTTATCTATTTATTTTATTAAAAAAATTATTTAAGATATTTAGGTCTTTATTTGTACAAATTTTAAATTAACACAAAAAATTTTCAAAACTCTTATAATTAAAAATATAAGTGTTTTTAAAATGACTTTAAATAAAAAAAATTTCTACTACCATATGATATATTTTAAAAACTAACTCTAATATTTTTATATTTAAGAATTTTAAAAATTCTTACATTTAATAAATATAAGCCTTTCAAAGGTAGATCTTTTTAAATCAATGTTTGACTTGCATTTTTTTTTAAAAAAAAACCCTTTTAAAAAGCCCTCCAACAGGGGAATCAAGAACATCTTCCCGCTAAAATTGGAACGCTAAATAAGGAGGTCCGGACTAATAAAGTCGCCGGAAAGTTCGAAGACAGGCGGGTCAAAGGCGGAGATGGTAGCGAGGAACAAGACAAGGGGTGATCGAACATGAAAACCTACGACATTTATATAATCCAGCCGCGTTCAAGGTTTGGCGGAGTCAAGCGCATCACCTGTTTGAAGAAATGCCAAACAGAGCTGGTAGTACTGAGGAAAGTAACATACGCGTGCTAGTCATGGGCTATCGGAGAATTATGGGGTCACCGCCATGTGTGCATTTGGAAGCTTTGATTGTGGATAACCACGGTTTGTTTGTTAATTTTAGTGCAATCTAAATTTATTCGAGATCTAATGGAGCTAAAGAGCCAAAACAAAAATTAGGAAGTGCGGATTGCAGAGTAAAATGTGCTCCTCTCTGTTCCCGTTGCCCGTTTAGCGGGTGGAGTCATTTACCGAATAAGCAAGAAATTATAATCTATTGGATTATCCTAGAGCTAAATTCGTGTTGACTCGAAAATAGGGACGAATTATAACTTTTGGAGAGTGTTCATTACACCATCCATTCGATTATCCAATTTGTTCATTTTGTTTTTCTGTCAGTGTATTCCAAACTTCCCCAACATCTGATTGCAGGATTTGCCTTGAACTGGAAAGCAAATCAGTGTCTGGTTTGGAGGCTTTTGACAGTGCAATGTAGGCCATTGTCTTTAACTAACTGCCTGATAATTAATCTGGCACCATTTCAGGGTTTCATGAATGATCAAATACTTATCTCCTCCAAGATTCTGTTTAATTGACGATCATATGGATTTTTGTTTGGGAGAGTGGAACATTGAGAATTGGGTTAGCCTTTATGTCTTGCTGTGTGTTTATGAGTAAGTAAATCTTCTTCTAGAAGATCGATATTTATCTGCAGCCGGATGGTTTATGCTATAATTCTCAAGTCTTGTATGGTATTGGGATTTGCATCAAAGGATGCTGCTGATTTAGGATTTTCTTAAAATAGATACATACTGGGACAACAATTTACACATATGTTAACATAGATGGAGATGGAATTTACAAACATATTATCACGTAGAGTTTTCATTTAAACTGAGTGAAATGGGGGCTATTGTAAGCAACTTGGAGCATTTCTATATCTTCTTCATAGGAATCGCGGAAGGTCTCCAAGTTGGCCTCAGCATTTTTTGCGACTGAAGTGCAAAGCTTTTTTCGCCATTCCTCTAGATGCGGAGAATCACTATAGTCTGCATATCTGTCAGAATACTGCAAAAGATGAAAAGGTTAGTCCAACATTTTGATATTTTTGTACACTTGCACAAAAAAAAAAAAAAAAAAACGATTTTGATAAAATGGCAGCTGGTGAAACAATTCATTTGCTAGCTGAACTTATATTGGGGATTTCTGGTTTGTTCAGTGACTTGGGCACTTTGTTCTAGCCATAAAAGATGTATAATTTCCTGTGTTCATAAAGTAGCAGTGATTTTCCTACAAAGGGAAATGCAAGAACCATAGTTGATATTACTAAGTACTTCTTTAGGAAAGTTATAGTAAGAATCTCTTTAATTCAGGTCGAATCTCATGTAAGTGTATTTTTGAAGGAGAAGAGTAATCGAAAGTAGAGTTAATAGCAACATTTACCTTATAGCACTCGATAATAAGATGTGTGTTGTGCTTTGGGATGCCCGCAGCATCCCTTTTGTGATAAAAATCCTTAATCGATTGCATCATATCATCCCATGATGGCAGCTTTCGTTTCCCGGACAATAGCTGAGCAATCCATTTTGCTTGAGATTCAAAGAAAGGGAAAGATATGACCTATGTCGCAAAATCAGCCAAAAGATCTTCAGGACAAATATGCATGTGTGTGCTAATGGTTTTTCCAGCCAAAAACATGACGGATTTTATGAAGAACACGCTTTCATAGGTACCTACTATCTCTAGATTATGGATGTCGATCTGGATTCCATACTGAATCGCAATATTCAATACAACATATGTATGTGATTCAACATTTTTGTCACTTAGCATATAGCCGTTTAACAAATTTAATCATAGTTCGATATTTTTTTTTTGAAAAGAATAGTTACTAAAAAACCTTAACACTTACTCGTCTAGGGATGCCAACGAAGGATAGAGAAGGAGCTAGTAAAGGAGGAAATGTTTGTTCATAAAGAGGCCCAACCCTATCGTCATCTATCACCACCAATCCTTTGGTATCGAGAAAAGGAAAGGAATAAGAGTACCTGCAGGACCTCATTAGCTCTTTCTACGATTACACCATATGACTGCATCGAATATAACCACTTCTTCGAACATATATAGTATGTTACTATCATGTTCATTACTATTCCATTTCCTTGCGCATATATTTCGATATGATCCGGTTTCTATCTTTTACGTGCATTAAAAATTGGGCAGATTGTTGGCATTTTACCCTGTGCAGTATATTATAGAGTCGGCAATGATCGATGATCCATCAGTGAACAAAACTCTTCCGTCTTCATGAAGTGACTCGATCTGCAGCACGGCTGGTATTATTTACCTTTCATTATTGTCGAATATGTCATCACTGTAGTTGAAATATTGATTTGATGAACCTGTGGATGAAGGTGTAGCTTGTCGTATTTGGAGATAACTTTTGATAGGCCTTCGGAAACAGTAGGGGGCTTCGAACTTAGGTGAATCTCCTTCGCCGATTTCACTAGTTCAACCGATATGTCCTGCCCACTCGAAGAGCTCCCGACAACTACAACTATCTGTAAGTATTACCGAGCAATGAGACCAGATCAAAATACACAAGCTAGATTTCCTATTTGTTTGCCAAAAGACTATTAAACTACGAAGAATATATGAATTTTTAGAGTCGTGTGGAGTGTTCCGAACCTCATTCTTGAAAGGTTCGGGGACTCTGTAAATATGACTATGCATCTGCCTTCGCTTCCACGAGTCCATTCCTTCACAAGTTCGACTCAAATTATATGCTCAATTTACATAGATTAAATTAAAATGAACGAGAAATAGATAGATCGTTGAACTACCATTAATTTTAGGCAATCTAGGATGTGAGTAGTGTCCAGTGGCGACAACCACGGCGTCATAGACTTCCTCGGCCACATTGCTTCTGACAATCCATTTCAGGTCCTCGGGCGGGACGGGATACTCCAACATCGTGGCACTCTCTACCCGGGTATTGAACTGTATCATCTCTCTCAACTCGAACCTCTCACAAAAGTCTTGCAGGTACATAAGAACTTCCCGGTGGCCGGGAAACCTCCTCCCGTCTCCGCTCTCCTTGGCTACAAATGGGAAGTCGGTGTAGCCCATGATCTCTCTCGGCGAAGCCACCCTCATGGAGGCGTACATGCTGCTATGGACCTCGAGGAATTGGCGGCGCCCCATGGGATGCTCTTTGTCAACGTTGGGATTGTACAGCCATTGCCCGCCTACGTCTTGGTTCTGCTCAAGAACCACCACATTGTGGCCCTCTTTGTGGAGCTCCCGGGCGGCGACGAGGCCGGCCGGGCCGGCGCCGATCACGCAGACTTTCTTGTTTGGGGATCCTGCTTCACAAACCATGGGTAAAGAAGTTTGCTTTTGTCTGTCCTCTCTGTTTCTCTCTCTATGTATCTATCTTTTCTGTGGATTTTTGTCACTGGGGGTTATGAAGTTTATCATCATCTCATCTCATCTGCAAGTTTTTGTTTTTTTATGAGTGAGATTGTTGGGAGTCTTTTGTTTGGTAGCAATCGGAGAGGAACATGACAATAGCATTCTTTGTTTTTTCGTCTTGGATGCACATATGCCTCGGCTCTCGTGGAATTTTTATTTGCTTTTGGTTTCATTTTGTATTTTTATTTCAATTTTGATTTAATCAGTATTTTGTAAAATAAATATACTACCGCCATCTCGCAACATAAACATCATTTGTTTTTTTGCACATAGATTTTTACTATTAGTATTATCTTAGTTTGTAATAATAAAAAAAATAAATACAAATAAAAATACCTCTATATTAGTACGGTATAATATTTATGTAATATATTGTATATGGTAAGGATATTTATTATATGAGGCAGATAATATAATTACTAAATTAAGAAATAGTAGCGGACAAAAATATAAAATATATTATTGTTACTAGACTGATGAAGTATTATATTTTCATTGATAATTATGTTGAATAATGGTATTTTAATTTAGCTCTAAAATAAATATTTATTATCATTTGAAAGAATAAAATAAATAGACTAATTAGATTTTAAAAGTATTTTGATATTGTGAATGGGTTTGATAATAATAAAAAGTTATATACAAAAGAGGTGTTTGATATCTTATACTTTAATTATAATATTTAAAACAAAAATTATGCTTTAGATATAATATTTTTTCAATGTACTTTATTAATAATACCAATCTGAAAATATAAGCAAACGATTGTACAAGGTGATATTTTTTAAGGTTATTTTTAATCATAGTTTTTTAAAAATATTAGTTATTTTTTTTTATTAAATTTGACTTTTATTTAAATAATAATTCCAATATAATGTTTTATGACATATAGTACCATTGAATAAAATAAAAAAAAAATAAATTGATGACTAAATGTACTCATCAAATTTTCATATAAAATATATTATTCATATTTTAAAAATATATGGAAAAGTAATATTACATATTTTACATATTAATAACTATGATTGTTTACAAGAGAATAATAAAAATTATAAATAAGACGAAAAACAAATTTGAAAATACAAATAAACAAATTTGAAAATATATATTATAATCATTTCTACTACTGTATAATAATGGAATGGTATTGTAATAAACAAGCATGCTAGCTGTATTTGATTTTAATTTCAAATCCGACTCTGTTTATTTGTTTCGATTCAAAGTATTTTTTTTTTATTATCTCTGTTCATCTAACTTAAAATATTATTTTTTTATTTTAATAAAAGTAATTATATATTAATATTAAAATATTTTTAATTTTTATTTAAATTAGAAATATATCATTATATATACAATTAATTTATACATAAAGTCAAAGGTAAAAATATCGAAATTTAAAATACTATTATTTATTAATTTACTAGAAAATCCAAAGAGCCTTTTTAGATTGGGACATAGAGAGAGTATGATTTTTAATAAAAATAAATTATTATTTCTTTTATAAAATATTTATATTAAAATATTATGTAAATAAAAAGTCAATAAAAAAATTAAATTAAAGCTAAACAAACTCATTATAAAATAAATTATTGTTACTTTTATAAAATATTTAAATAAAAATTCAATAAAAAATTTAAATTAAAGCTAAACAAACTCATTATTTGGACTCATAAATCCTTTTAAATATGAAAAGAATATATAATTATTTCTTTTATACTTATTGAGTAAAATGGCATATTTTATGCTTGTGAAAGGTATTACTTACAAGGCACATTTAAGTGTGTGTTTGTTTGGGCTTTCAAATTGAGATTTGAGATTATGAATACTAAAATGTTTAACAATTAAACAATTGTTTGGTATGATATAAATAAATATTAATACTACCTCCGTTTCATAAAAAAAGTACGGTAAACTTTTTGTACATTGATATTTGAATATTAATTATTTTATTAATACGTATTATAAATTAAGAAAAAAAATATATAAGAATATCTCTATTGGTCTCTTATAAGTTATAATACAAATACAATTATATTTATGGAGTAAATTATACAAATATAAAAATATTTTTAATGTTAATACAATAACGCAAACGATACTCTTCTTATAAGACGGAGGTAGTATAATAATTAAAGAAATTTTTTTTTTTTGATGTAATATAAAAGATAAAAATAAATATTTTGATTTGATATTTTTAAAAAAAATACTTTAAATCAATAATTTTTTAAGAAACCCTCAAATAAATAGCCGAGTGTTTTTAATTATTATCTTAAAAATTTAAAACGAAAAATATGTAATGATTGTAATTTTGTATGGAAAAAATAGATTCAAGACGTATAATATAAATAAAAATTCTATTGAATATAATATTGAAATATATATTTTATTATAAATTACATAAGTATTAAAATACATTAAAAAAACACTTTTCGTGTTTTCTAACATAAAATGGGTTTTTTAAATCAAAGCATATGAGTTGGCAGAATATTACAATTCAAGGGTTTGAAATATTCCTTGTGTTTTTTATTATTAAATACAACATTTATTTTATATAAAAAAATTAATGGTAATAATTTTCCTTAGTATCATATGACTAATTAAAATCGTATGCGTGATTTTAACATATATATATATATATATTTTTTCTTATAATTAACATTTAAAGTGATACAGTAAAAATATTATGATCAACTACAAATTTTAATATATATTTTTAAAATCTATTTCTCATAGACTTTTTATTTATTTATAAAAATATATAAAATTTATTGGATTGTGTTTTCTAAATCCTATTTTCAATATATGCGGGCAACAATTTTTTTTTTTTTTTTTGTTTTTCTTTCTAAAAATATTACACCTGCATCTAATTTTAATTTAATATATATTATATACAAAATAAATTATATTCAAAATGTCACCTCAAATGTTTAATCATATCATATCAAATATTTAAAATTTATTATTTTCAAAATACACCGTAATACAATCAAATAAATAAATTCATATTTGATGTGTAGTGAAAACCAAATCGAAGCTAATGAGATTTTGGTATGCTACTCCCTTGAATTGTACAAAAGTCTCGTAATCCGATCAACAAGTAGTGTCCAAGGGAAATGCCCTGGGTTGGGTGTCCGGATTGTAGCATGGCCCTCGATGGACATGCAAATGAGTAGAAATGTGATAGTGGAAGGTTAAGTCTCTCGGAAATATAATATGTCAAGAAGGTCCTTAAGAGGTTCAACATACAAGATGTAAAGCCCATGAAGATACCTTTGGGGAGTCACTTCAAGTTGTCTAACAAAGACTCACCAAAGAATGAGTCGGAATGTCCCAAGATGAGGAGTGTTCCGTATGCATCTGCTATAGGGAATTTGATGTACGCCATAGTTTGTATTAGACTAGATATAACACATGTGGTGAGAGTAGTGAGCCGATTTATAAGAAATCCTGGAAGGCAGCATTGGGAAGAAGTAAAGTGAATATTGAGGTATTTGCGGGACACTGCATATAAGAACTGACCTTTGAGAGAATGGAGCTTTGGTCACCTGGATTTGTGGATGTTGACTTGGTAAGAAGTGACTATGATAAGAGGAAGAGCATATCTGGATATATGTTCAATTATGGAGGGACAATAATATCATGAACTTCGAAGCTGTAAAAGGTGGTTGCTTTATCGACGACAGAAGTTGAATACATTGTAGTAACGAAGGTTAACAAGGTGATGGTTTGGCTGTAGAACTTTATACTTGAGTTGGGAAAGGATTCAAAAAATAGTAGCTTTTATAGCGACAGTCAGAGTGCAATCTACTTGAAAAAGAATCCTACATTCTATACAAGAACGAAACATATTGAATAAAGGTTTTCCTTTCCGAAGTCAATCATTCTCATCTTTCAGCTTTTGATTTTCATTCCTCAAGGCATCCGATTCAGTCGATTTTGTTGCAATATCCTTCTTCAAAATTCCAATTTTATCATCCAATTTCTCCTTATGAGCTTTCATTCGGTAGATAGTGTCCAGTAGCTCTTTGTTCTTCACCACATATTTCTTTTGCTCTGCCACCATCTACTCATAGGCTTTAATCAGTTCATCAGCATCAATTTCTATGGATTCTTGTGAAGCTTTATCAGTAGAAGCACCATCATCTTTAATAGCTTCAGATTCATCGGCTATGAAAGCAACCACTTTAATATTTTCTGAGTTTTCTTCGCCTCCAACAAACCTTTCATCATCATTGTCACTCAATGTGGCTTGGTATGCTTTCTTCTATTTTTTCTTCACTGTTGGAAATTCAGATTTAATGTGACCAACTTTTTCACATCCATAGCAGATAGGCTCTTGAACTGATTTAGGTTTAGTAGATACAATAAACTTCTTCGTGAATCCACCATCAAACTTCTTTTTTGGCTTGCTGTAATTTGATGGTTTCTATTAGAGTATTTCCGTTGTGAGCTAAAAGTACTCACACCCTGATAACCACCATGATTCTGAAGCTTCTCATATTTCATCTTTGCTGCACGTTTATCACTGATCATCCTCAAAAGTTTCCGACTTAACATAGCCATTTCCTCATCAGACTCAATTAGCTCATTGTCTTCACCACTCAACGCCATACTCTTAGGAGTTTCATCTTCAAGATAATTCATTTAATAACTTACCAATGTACCATATAATTCATCCAAAGTCATACCTTTCAATTTCGGAGGTTCATCAAGCATAATCACTTTTAGTCTGAAATTTTTTGTGAGACTCTTAAGCATCTTCCTTACCAGCCTTTTTTCTTCAAAGTGCATTCCCTAGGTTTCAGTCTGGTTAACAATATCCATAAAACGATTGTAGTATTCGACAAGAGTTTCATGTTCATTCATCTTTATTCCTTCGAACAATGTCTTTACATGTTCCAATTTTGATTCTCGAACTTGGACAGATCCTTCAAAGGCATTTTCCAGAATGTTCCAAGCTTCCTTAGCAACTTTGAAATTGGATATCAGCTTCGCCAGAGTTTCATTCACA